AGAAGGCTGGACAGTGTCACTGGGAGACCTCTCCCAAACCCTTGGAAAGGTCAGAGCCATCCCAGAGCTTCCTGGGGCCTTGGCAAAAGCAGACATGGAACCAGTCTGCAAACAGGGCAGCAAGGAGGGTTGGCAGAGTTCCAGACCGCTCAGGCTCAGCAGGGAAGGGGAGAGGGCAAGTCCTCCTGCAGCCATTGCCAGGCATGGGAAGGACAAGGCAGAGATTGCAGAACCCCTGTGGGAAGGAATAGAGGATGTTGTGTTCCCAGACTTTATCAAGGCCCTTGACATGGTCTCCTGTGGTCTCCTTATGGCCAGATTGGTGAGAACTGGACTGAAGAAGTGGAAGATGTGCTGGGTGGGAAGTTGGGTGAATGAAGTGTCAAATAAAATCCATGGTACAAAGTCCTCTTGGCAGCAACTTCCTGGTGAAATCCCTCAGTGACCAGCCCTTGAACACCACTGTAGAACATCTTTCTTATCTCTCTGTACAATGGGACAAAATGTATTTTCAAGTCCTTTGTGGTTGATGCCAAATTTCAGGGAACCCTTGAGCAACCTGTCCTGGTTTAAAGACACATATTGGGATGGGAACTCCAATAAAATGAATTCACTCTTCTTTTATTCCCCACCAGTACAAGGAGACAAAATACAAGGAGGTATAAGTGAAAAAATAAGAGTTTACTGACAAGAAATATATCAGCAAAAACAGCAATACCAACAGAACAGTTCAAAGCAACAGCAGAGAGAGAAATTGCCTCCTCTCTACCCATCTGCCCCAATTCACTTTTGTAAAGAGATACAAACAGGGATCAACATGTGCCTCCCTTCCCCCTTTTCCCCCGAATGAACAAAGAACAAAAAAAACCAAAAGCAGGGGAGAGAGGGGACAAAGCAAAATCTGGAAAACTCTCTGGTCTGAGATCAGTTGTGCTGCCCAAGAACACGCTGACTCCAGAGGTGTCCAAGCGGGGCAGCGGGGGGGAGGTAGCGGCTCTGCTTGATTCCATGGAGATCTGGGGAGGCACAGAGGCCCCTTGGTTCTATGAGGTTCTGAGATGTCTCAGGATTCCTTTTGTTCCATGAGACCCCGCATGTCACAATGGTCCCTTGGTTCCATGAGATTCCACAGTGTCCCTGCATTCCTTTGGTTCCATGAGGCCCTGCAGTGTCACAGTGCCACTTGATTCTGTGACATTAAAAAGAATCAGAATGGTCCCTTGATTTAAGGCCAACTGCACATGGGGCTGCCTTAGGGGGAGTGTGGGCACCCAGACAAGGGAGTTGTCACCCCCCTGGACTCAGTCCTGGTGTCATCACATCTGGGCCAGTCTGTCTGTCTGTGAGGTTCCCCATTCTGGAGGAATGAGGAAGAGCTGGAGAGGGTCTAGAGGAGATCTGACAGGATGGAGCTTTTGTCCATATTGGAAATAGAATGAAATCTCCACAAAGAGTAGCATGGAAGGTACAGACTGAAGGTGAGGAAAATGAAATGTCACTCAATGGGGACCCTTGTGCTGCAAGAGGTCACCCAGAGGGAGTCAGGATCAGCCCATGGCTTTGTGTTCCAGGGAACAGCCAGAGCTGGTGCAGAGCCATCAGGGAGGGTCTAGAAATGCTGCTGGGAGGGGGTGGGAAAGCAGGAGGGGTGTGTGCAGCCTGCAAGGCCAGAGCAGCAGCAGGGCCAGGGCAGGACAGCCTGCAGGAGAGATGGCCAAGGGCTCTGGCAGGGCTGCAAGGCCCAAAGGCACCCAGGCCTTTGTCCCCTTGCCTCTGGCAGCTGCCTCTGCCACTCAGGCCACCACAAACAACTTTCCTGGCAGGTTCTGCCCTTGGGTTCTGCCTCGCCCCTCCCTCAGCAGCCTGGCAGGGGTTGCCCAGTTTTGGCCCTTTGTTGTTCCTCCCCCTCCCATCCCAGTGCCCCCCAAACAGCCCTGAGCCAGCCGGGAGGGACAGGATCTGCTGGGCCAGGGCCTGGGGCTCAGCCCTTGGCCTTTGTGCTCCACAAAACCAAGGCAGGCTTTGCTCAGCATTGCAGGGGCCTGCCCAGAGCCTTTGTCTGCCTGCACTCCTGGCCTCCAAGGAGCTGCTCCAAGGAGTCCCTGGGGAGGCTTTGGCAGTGCCTGCCCTCAGTGGGGCCCAGCAATGCTTCAAGGCACTTGGACTTTGGCTTCTGACTTCTTCAGCAGCTGCTTCAATCTTCTCTCAGCACCTCAGGATCATGGGCTGGGCTGCAAAAACACCGTGGGGCTCATTAAATTCCAGAAATCCCTCAGGATCTCTTTGTCTTCCTTTAATTGTCTTCAAGGCAATTTCAAAACAAGTCTTCGAAGTTTGTACTTTTTTTTTGTTTTAATTTAATTATGGATATTTTTTAGTTTAGAGGAGAGGTAATAGAGGTGTTCTGCAAGTGATCTTGATGCTGAGTGTCTCCTCAGGAGATCCACACTGACCCTGGATGATCACCCCCTTGCTCCTCACCCTCCAATCTCACCAGTTCTGACATGGCCCATCTTGGACTGACAGCTGATGCAACTCCAAACACACTGTGGGACCCATTAAAACATTGAAAAACAAATTATTTTTCTTTGTTTAGTTGTCTTCAAGTCTTCAAGACATAAACAACTAATTGGAGTTGTTTTGTAGCTTAGCTAAGGAGGATGACTTTAAAGTGAAAGTCATGAAAAATATATATTTTTTGATGAAAGGGAATGATTTACACAAAGTCTTGGGATGCAAGAGGGTCAGGACGCAAAGGATTTGGACACAAATATAAGGGGCAAAAGAGATTACTGGTATATAATTATTGACCAATTGAACAATTATCAAGTGATTCAATAGCATTTGCTACAATTTTAACAGTGACTGAATTATAGATTCCCAATAACAACATTCCCACCACAGTCAATTCACACCCACACCCAGGCAGAGATGTGTGGACACATCAAGAGCTGGAGGTGCAAAGGTCCGTCTCCCAAATTCTCCTTCTTGTCAGGGAAAGAATCCCCCAAATCCCTTTGTGTTTCCCAACACACAAGGGTCACAGCTGGAGCAGTGTTTGTTGAGGGGATCAGAATTGTCCTGGGCATCAGCGAGGGTCTTTGGAGTGTTGCAAACTGGAGGGTTCCCGAGCTGGGAGAGGCTGCCAGAGGTGTCCCACTGAGAGGGAGGTGCTGGGGAGCTGCCAGGGCCTCCCTCAGCCCCACTGGTTGTGGGCTCCCAAGGGGACTGGCTTTAGTGATCTGCTGAATTTCCATCCTGGTGTCAGTAATTACTGGAGTTTCCAAAACATTTTGAAATTGTATCCTAACCGTTCCATTTGGGTTCTGATTCAGGTAGGGAATGTTCCAAGGCTATCCTGTGTTCCCCAGCTCTTACACCCATCCCAGTCAGCTGGATGGTTTATTGACAATGTGTCCCAAGGGGCGGCACCTCTGATGCCATAGAAACCCCTCCCCTGGATTAGGAAACCTTTGGAATTCAGGAGGTGTTCCAGTGGAGCATGACAATGAACAGCAATTTCCCTAAAGCCCAGAGCCCAGCAGAACAAAGGCAGGCCCCATCAGTGTCAGAGCAAAGGTCCCCCATCCCTGTGTCCCTGTGGCCGCTGAGGCGGCAGCGCAGGCCCGAGGCGGTGCCGGGTCCCGGTGCAGCCGGGGCAGAGCGGCGGCTGCGCGAGCGGCAACCCCGGCGGTGAGTGCGGCAGCCCCGTGGGAGCGGCGGCTCCGGGCACAGACGCCGGCGGCAGCCGCTGTGGCTCGTGGAACCGAGTGGCCATTGGGACACTGCAGGGCCTGCTGGAATCCAGGGGCCGGTGGGACACTGGGGAGCCTCTTGGAGCCAAGGGAACCCTGGGATGTTTTGGAACATCGTGGAATCAAGGCTCCATTGTGACACTGCAGGGCCTCATGGAACCAAAGGAACCCTGAGAGTTTTTGCAACCTCATGGAATCAAGGGGCTGTTTCTGGCAGGATGCTCTGCTCTGATAATACCTAAAAATTGGTCAGAGAATGCAAACAATGCACACTCTCTGTGATGAGTTACTGCTGGTGTCAAGGTGCTGTTTTTAATGTTGAATTATGCTAAACCCAAAATGCTTCATGAAACTTCAGACACACATCCTGCTTTCTGAAGCAGGATTTGACAGATAAGCTGCTCCCTGGCCTGCAAATATGTCTGGCAGTCAAACCCTTGATAACTGTAAAAGCCCCGTCCAACTGTCATGGGGCAGATTCTTCCACAGACTTCTTGAAGTGTGTGGAGCTTCTGCCATGAAGCAGGGACAGCTCTTCATGGTCACTGCCCAGGGGTTGGGTGGAAGAAAAAAGAATTACCCCCTTTCGTTGTGGGATGAGTTACCTCAATCTCTGCTTCAGGATTGTTTCTTTTTGCTGGCTTTGATCCAGCTGCTTTAATAGAGTTACTTTGATAGACTCCACTGTCCTATCTTACACTATACTACTAGAGGTTTTTGGCTTTTATAATTTGAAGTAAATAATTCTGTTTAAGGTCTTTCATCTGTTCACTTTTCTGATCAATTTTTTGTTCATTTGTCATAATAAATCATTGTTTTTATAGAAATATTTCTGATTTGCCATCATTAAAACCTGCAGGACAAAGTGATTGAATCACACCTCTAGAATTCCTTCAATCTAAACCAAAATCTGAGCCTGAGATTGGATCCAGCCACAGTCAGGCTCCTCTCTGAGAAGGAATTTAGAAAGCAAGGGGGTCCTTTCTGCACCTCGTAGCTCAACGAGACGGCTTCTGCATCAACTTTGTCTAAGCCTTCCACCCCCCAGCCCCAAGCCGTGACACATGGGCATGTCTTGTGCATACAGTGCAAACATGGACTCCTGATCTGGTCATTTGCTGTCCCTCCTTGGAGGGAAGAACAAGCCCAATGGCCTGGGGTGAGAGGCCAGTGCTGGGAGCGGCGCTGGCTGTGCCAGGGCACTGCTGGGTGCCCCCACCCTGAACACTCCCCCCCTTGTGCTGGTCACTGCTGGTTTCCTCTGCAGGGCGTTGTGTTGGGCACATCCTGGAGAGCAAAGTGGAAAGCAGATGGAAGCTTTGAGGCCCTGGCCTGAGGAGATGCCCCTGCAGGATGGCAGTGCTGCTGCAGAGGTCAGCTCTGTGCCAGCAGTGCCCGTGGCTGTCCCTGCCTGCAGTCCCTGGACAGTCCTGCAGCAGGACTGGCACCGACTGCCAGAGCACTGAGGCCTCCAACAACACAGGGCTCTGCAGGACAGTGTGGAAGGGAAGGAAGAGGAGGCCCTGCAGGAGAAGGGCTGCTGCTCCCTGGCAGTGCTGCTCTGCTGGGACTCTTTTCTGGCCCAGCTCTGCACAGAGGCCCCGACCCTGCAGCTGCAGAGAAGTCAGAGAGGAAAGATGTCAGGCAAACAAGCCAATGCAGAGTTCTTTATTTGGTATTTAAGCAGACAGTGAGTACAAGTCCCAATTTGTACAGCTTCTAGGCCAGGCTAGAAAGGTTTACACTGAATTGAAAATGGTGTTTTTATAAATATAAATATATATATATATATCTTTATATATACATTTATAAGGATTTTTTGGTGTGAACAAATTATCACAAAAGTAACACCCCTACCAGGACCAAAAAATAGAGAAGATATGGTGGGTGTTAATGAAGCACAGAACACAACTGGCCTTTAATGAGGTCCATAACATGCAGAAGAAGGAGAGTTTATTGCTTCTGAAAAACACCCAGTTATGAGTTTCTTCAGGGCATCCTTGAGCTCCTGGTTCCTCAGGCTGTAGATGAGAGGGTTCAGTGCTGGAGGCACCACCGAGTACAGAACTGACACAATCAGATCTAGAGATGGGGAGGAAATAAAAAGGGGCTTCAGGTGTTCAACTATGCCAGTGCTGAGGGACAGGGAGACCACAGCCAGGTGAGGGAGGCACGTAGAAAAGGCTTTGTGCCGTCCCTGCTGAGAGGGGATCCTCAGCACAGCCCTGAAGATCTGCACATAGGAGAACACAATGAAAATGAAACAACCAAATGCTAAACATGCACTAAACACAAGAAAACAAATTTCCCTGCGGTAGCCTGAGTGTGAGCAGGAGAGCTTGAGGATGTGTGGGATTTCACAGAAGAACTGGCCCAGGGCATTGCCCTGGCACAGGGGCAGGGAAAATGTATTGGCTGTGTGCAGCAGAGAATAGAGAAAGCCAGTGGCCCAGGCAGCTGCTGCCATGTGGGCACAAGCTCTGCTACCCAGGAGGGTCCCGTAGTGCAGGGGTTTGCAGATGGCAACGTAGCGGTCGTAGCACATGGTGGTGAGGAGGAAATACTCTGCTGAGATGTAGAAGACAAAGAAAAAGACCTGTGCAGCACATCCCATGTAGGAGATGGTTGTGGTGCCCCAGAGGGAATTGTGCATGGCTTTGGGGACAGTGGTGCAGATGCAGCCCAGGTCTGTGAGGGAGAGGTTGAGCAGGAAGAAGCCCATGGGGGTGTGCAGGTGGTGGTCGCAGGCTACGGCGCTGAGGATGAGGCCGTTGGCCAGGAGGGCAGCCAGGGAGATGGCCAGGAAGAGCCAGAAGTGCAGGAGCTGCAGCTCCCGCCTGTCTGCGAATGCCAGGAGGAGGAACTGGGTGAGGGAGCTGCTGTTGGACATTTGTTGCCTCTAGATGTGGGGCACTGTTCAAGGAGGAAAGAACAGTGATAAGTTAGGGCAGAACATTCTGAGAAAATTCAAAGCCACTTTCCAACACCCCTCTCGCTGCTCCATTGGTTTTCCTTTTCTAGGAGTCTCTCCTTCAGCTCCAGGGCTGGAGCCCTGCTCAGGGCTCACTACATGTTCCATGAGGAGCAGACCCTCTGCCCACTGGCTGTGAGGGGTCAGCCCCGCTCTGCACCTGTGGGGTCATGGGCATGGTGGGTACAAGGGGTCCGTCCTGGTGTTCAGCTGTGTCAGGTGAAACTGTTCCCAGTGCAAAAAGGCTTGCCAGCATCTGCACACCCAGTTTGTGAGAAAAACCAGGACAGCAGAAGGCAGTGTCACAGGTTTGTTTTGTTTGGGTTTGTTTGTTTCATTTTTGTTTTGTTTTGTTTTTTTTTTTCCTAATTCCCTCATCTCTCCTGAGGAGTGTTCCTGGATGTCAGAACCCCGTAGCACTTCTGATGCACTCGGGGAGAACAGAGAGGGTCCTCCCAGCCAGGAGGATTGTCTGAGGCTTAGTGCAGCTGGTCTGTCCCTCTCTCTTTTTCCAGCTGCCCTGGCTTTGCTTCTTCCTGAGATGGACATTGATCACACTCCCATTTGGGTCTGAAAAGCCACCAGACACTGTTGAGAGCAGAGGGATCCATCCCACACCCCTCAGTGTCTCAGCCTGTCTCAAGGGCTCAGCACCCCCCTTGGAGCCAAGGACACCCATGGCTCATCTCCCCAACCCAACAGCATCTCCTGGCATGGGCACAGCATCTCTGCCCCTCTCCACTGGGGCTTTCAGAGAACACAGCTGTGCTGGGAGGATGATTTGCATTCTCCAGGGCAGCTCCCAGCTTGGAAGGACACCTCAGAAAAGAGCCAAGTGTCCTAATGACGGGGTCTGATTGAGGGGAAAAGAGCTCCTTACCCAGGCCCACAGACTTCACTGCCCACACCCCACAGGGTAGAGGACAAGTGGAATGTCTCATTCCCAGGGACACATCTGCCTGAGGGGAATCCCAGGATCGGTGTTGGACTCTGTAGTTTGAACTCCCCTCCCTAAAGAGCCTGACTGAGAGAAGGAGGGAACAACCTCAGGACCAGGGGCAAGCTGAGAACCAAGGAAATGCACAGGGAGGGTCCAGCTGGGAGAGGCCAGGGCAGAGCCCACTGGGCACTCAGGGCAGCGTCACCCTGAGCCAGCTGTGCCACCTCCCAGACACCAACAGTGCCAGCAAGTTGTTCTCAGCCCTGGGCAGCTCCTCACAGTTCCCTCTGGAACTCAAACCACCAGGCATGTGGCTTGAGAGCTTGAGAGAAATCCCTCCTTGGACCTTCCCCTTGAAGTATCCACTGGAAAATATCCTGGGGTGCTCTGGTTCTGTGAGCAGCCCTGACCCATGAACCTCTCACTCGATAGCAGAAGAAACCTGCCCTCCCTGCCAGGCTTTGCTCTTTGCACCCCCAGCCTCTGCCCAGCCCTGAGGGAGCTCCCCAGCCCGGCTGAGAGCTGCCCCTGGCAGTGGCAGAGCTCCTGCCCTGGCACAGCCCTGGGCTGCAGGACCCTGCTCTGCAGGACAGCTTGGGGCAGCCTGGGTGGCACAGCCCGGCTTCACAACCCTGCAGCCATCCCTGGGAGAAGGGAACCCTGCTGGGATGTGCCTGGGATGGTGCAGCAGGGAGTGGGATGTGCCAGCGTTAGGAGATCTTTGCCCCAACTGCAGACACATTGCCCTTCATGCTGACTCACCGGGAGGGAGCCTGGAAAGATTCCTCCTGCAGTGGATCTTCCTCTCGACTTCCCTCCCAGCCCAGGCTGTGTGTAACCTCTCTCTGCCTTGCTTTTGTGCCCTGGGTGCTGCAGGCAGTGCCCTCAGCCCTGCTGGGCTGTGCAGAGGAGCTGCTCACCAGCAGAGCTGTCTCTTTGAAGCTCTTCTTGCTTGCCAGGAGCTCCCTGTGTGCCAGGAGCCCGGCCCAGCTCAGCAGCACAGCAACAGCCCCAGGCATTTCATGACCCTCAGGGGGATTTGATGTTGTTTACATGAGACTCAGTCCCTAAGAGCAAGTTCAAACAAGTTCTCAAGAAATCAAAATGAGTTTGAAATACTGAAGTTTCTTGTACTGTTAATGGGTCCCACTGAAGGACATGACTGTGAAAGTGTCCCCAGATTCCAGTTAGAGCAGAAATCTGCAGACAGTGATGACAAGGATGGACAAGCAAGGCAAAGGTGGCTTTAATGCTGAATATACTTTGACTCGTTTCTTAAATCCAACTGGCCAAGCCCCAGCCCCCAGCCCCTGGGAAGGCAGATCCTGTCCCTGCCTCATTCCTCAGGGCTCTTCCTGGGGCACTGGGATGTGGGATGTGCAATGCCAAGGGCAGGACCATGGGGTGGCACCTGCCAGGCTGCTGAGCAGGGACAAGGAGGCCATGAGGCCCCAGGGTTGCAAGGGGCACTCCCCTCCTCCTGGCATCAGGGGCACAGACAGCAGCCCTGGCCAAAGGCCTGCAGAAGGTGGCTGTGTCAGGGCCTTTCAGCTTCTCCCCCTCCCTGTCTCCTCTCCAGCCCAGGCTGTCCTACGGTGTCCATGCCCTGCCCCTTTCCCTGCAGGCTGTCGTCATCCCCCCGGCTGCCCCACCTGGCTGGCACCTTCCTGCACTGACATCTCTGCGTCCTCCCTGGCTCTTCCTGCACACACAAAGCCTTGGGCTCATCCAGTCTCCTTCTTTGTGACATATTGCACCACAATATTGACCTTGAAGGGAAATTTCTTACTTCTTGTCACCAGTCTAGGCCACCCCAGCTGCCCTTGGTGGCACTAGTTCTTTCTTAGGCTGTTTTCTGACAGGAAGAAAAGCTCCACCAGCTCTGACACCCCCCTTCCAGACCTCTCAGGCTACTCCTCTACTGTCCTCAATCTTTGCACCCCTGACCCCTGAGTCCTCAGCCTCTATATACGGGTCATGTGCCTGAGGCCCCAAATTCTTTCCTGGGAGATCTCTGGGACCTCTCCAAGGTTTTGGAAGATGACAATAGAGTGCTCTGATCCCAGGAAACATAGAAGGACACTTTTTTCCAAGGGTTGTCTTGGCAGAATGAGGTACAATCTCTTTAAAGTTTCTGGTACAAGGGAGCTCTGAGCTCTGGGTATGGAGGGAGGTCCAAGTGCCAACCACTGGAGTGGGAGCTACAAATCATCAGGGCTTGTGTTCTTTGGAGGGCCAGACACTGGTGAGAGTGGTGTGTGTGTGTGCACATGTAAGGGTACAATGAACTGTCTCAAAACACTGTCAAAGCAGGAAAATCCCATAAGGCACCACAACACATAAGCACTGGTGGCAAACAGGAAGGCCTTTAATTCCAAGGCCTAAATGGAGGTGAAGCTTTGGAAGTAGCCCCCAGGACAGAATTGCACTGTGCAGAGTGTGGGAAAGAGCAGACAGCCCCAACAGGAAGCCAGGGCTGGTAAGGCAGGTCTGGGGAACCCATCCAGACAAAGATTCCCACCTGCAGACTGGAAGCACACCAGGCAAAACTCCCACCGTGGCAAGCTGTGGGAAAGGAAGCAAGTCCTTGTAGATGTGCCAGCCCAAGCTGTGGGAACAGCATCTACCCCCCTGAATACCCGGGGCTTGGGCTGTATAAAAGTGATAGCCCAGAAGCACAACTTGGGGACCCTCCACCGAGCAGAGCAGGGTGAAGAAGGACCGGCGGGAGCCTCAGGGATCTCCATGGTGTGATACATTTACTTCATCTCTGTCTCTCTCTCACTGGCTTCCCACCACCCCCTTCTTCTCTTTCTGTTTCTTTCTCTGTCTCTACCTTCTATTTACTGTTAAATCAAAGCTGGACTGCTGACTTTGGCACATGGTCTCCTTTGCAGCTGAATTTGGGCAGAGGTGTCTCTTAATAATGGGAACCTGATAGTATCCATGAAGTTTTACAGTGTGGGAATGGCCACTAGATTCCACAAGGTTCCACAGAGTGTCAGGGTCCATTTGGCTTTGTAAGGCTCTGTGGTGTGATAATGGACCCTTGATTCCATGGGTTTGCAAAATGTCTCAGGAGCCCTTTGGTTCTAGGAGGCCCCAAATATCACAGTGGCCCCTTGGTTCCATGAGGTTCCACAGTGTCACAATGGCCCCTTGATTCCATGAGGTTCCACAATGTCACAAGGATTCCTTTGTCTTCCATGAGGCCCTGCAGTGTCATAGTGGCTTTTGAGTCCCCGAGGTTCCTCAGTGTCACAATGGCCCTTTGATTCTATGAGGTCCTGAAATGTCTCAGGGCTCCCTTAGTTCCATAAGGCCCTTCATGGCACAATGGCCCCTTGATTCCATGAGTTTCCACAGTCTCCCAGGGTTACTTTGATTCCATGAGGCCTTGCAGTATCACAATGGTCTCTTAATTCCATGAGTTTTCACATTGTCACAATGTTCCCTTGGTTCCATGAGATTCCACAGTGTCCCAGGGTTCCTTTGGCTCCAGAAGGCCCTACAGTGTCACAATGGCCCCTTTACTCCAGGAGGTTCCACAGTGTCCTTGCTGGAACACACAGGGCTGTAATGTTGTCACCCCTGCAGA